TCCAGAGGAACGTGTATCCGCATGAAGATACCGCATCGTGCATGGCTTTGTGGGGCAGAGCCGGCGTCGCATTGACGGGGCAGAGAATGAAATCGTACTGCTGCGTCTCGGCATCCCACCAGCTGTGCCAGGTCGCCCGGAAAGCTTCCCGCTGCGCAGTGAGCTTCCAAAGCTCTGCTGCAGACTTGGGGGCAAATCCGCGGATTAGCGTCGCCCACTTCTCATCCCGTCGGATGTATCGAACCCAAAGATAGTAGAGATAACGCAGAGGACGGGGCAGATTGCAAATCCGTGTCAGCTGATCCGCACCAGGGTCGGATGGCTCAAAGCTGTGCAGATGCGAGTTGAAAGTGACGCACCCATCAGAGTTGAGCAGCTGCGAGGCGAGGGAGAGACCGGTAAAAGTGTCAGCAGCAGCCGGGGGTGTGATCTCAGACACAGTGTGCCCAGCGGCAGTGAGGGCGGCTACTGTAGTGGAAATCGCACGTTCAATGGCCGGCGTAGGGGGAACAACACCTGCATGTGGTCAGCAACGTTCAGCAGCATCCTTTACGTCTCCACAATTGAAACTTACCGTCGTTGCTCATGAGGCCGATCCTCAGCTTTTTGTTCTGCGCTTCGACTTCCTCGTCTTCTCTCCAGGAGATAGGGTGCACGGTATGGTCGTAGTTCCAAGGCTTCATTCCGACAATAGCTTTAGTGAAATAGGTGAGATCGTTCAAAGTACGGGCCATCGGGCTGAAGACACTGGCAACACCTTCCTGGCCAGCCATACTGGTGTTAACTCCCACCTTGGGCCAACGGCCAGTACTACAGCGGAGGGAGTAGATGCCGCTCCAAGCCGCGGGAACGCGAACCGAGCCAGCGACATCAGACCCGATACCAATGCGACCACCAAGAGCCAGCAGAGCACCTTCACCACCCGTCGAGCCTCCAGGGGAGTATTCAGGGACGTGTGGGTTAAGGCAATGACCCCAAAGAGCGTTTGCTGATTCGAACGACAGAAGCGTCACGGGCAGCGCCGTTTTCGCATATGGGACGGCACCTGACGGAGTTCATCATTAGCCAAGGTATACTTTTTGCGACTTTCCGTAGTTTAGGCCACGTACCAGCATCCTTTAGCAGCTTTGCCATTGGACCGTCCTCCTTATACGGTTTACACGCAAACTTGGTATAGCCAAGAGTAATATCGAAGCCCTTGATTTGCACCGAGTCTTTCAGAGAGATGGGCACACCCGCCAGGGGACCCTTGAGGTTTACTTCGGACTGAGCCCATGATTCTGCCTCAGGCAATAGAAGCTCAGTTACGCAATTTGTCTTCTCGTGGGCCTTGACTGCAACCTTGCCGTATGTGCGTAGGACATCTAAAGGTGCCAGGGAATCATTCTGGACCTCATACACCAAGTCCTGGATAGGCTTGTTGATGATAACTCTGTCGATAGCCGAGAAGGGCGCATGGTAGTCTGGCGATAGCGATGCAAATCGAGCCGCCCGTTCCCTCCTTTTGAGGTCCCTGTGAATGGTCAGTGAGCCGTCGGCTGAGTTGCATGTGGATTATGTAGGACTGCTTGGGTTACTGCATGGAGGCACCAGGGTAACCTACCGGATGCGACGGTACGTAAAGTAATCAAAGGGGGGAAGCATCGTGTGTCACCTCCTTAGGAGTCTGTGCAGAAGCCCAAGGGGGAGGACAGAGAGAGATAGAGAGGAGGAGAGCAACGTTTCGCGCAGCAAAAGAGATCCGTCACAACGCAGGGGGGCGCCGTCCTTTTATTGCGGGGGAAGCACCACACGTGCGGAGAAGCCCGATAAGCTAGACCCGCTGATAAGCGCTCTCTGTCCAAGCTGACTTGTTCGCTTCCGGTACGCCGTCCGCTGAGCTGTTCGAGCTTCCAATGCATCACGATAAGCTATGACAGTCATCTTTAAATACACCTGGCACCTGTTCGTTACTCACGCTGTTAACTTAGGCCTGTCGCATTTCACTGAGGTTATTTATTCCATGCAAGAGCTTCCTGGATGACAATGCTAGATACAACACGTGACTGATACAGAAGCGGCTGCCGGCGCTTGTGTTGCCGCATTGGGCAGGTCCATGCGGATAACAAGCTTCCTAGTATCATTCAAGTAATAAACGAAGACTAGACTGCTCCTACACAAACTTCTTATCTCCTAGTCTCTCGTCTAGTCATCTAATACTACTCGACACTTATCATTAGTCTAGTAAGCGATCCGCTTGTCTCGTTCAATAAGTTCAAGTCGGATCAGTCGGCTCCCAACACTGCCGAAGGTTGATGGTTTAACAATATTATAAGAGATCCTGTGCCTCAGAGAGTCCACCCGTTTCATTATTTGGGACCATAGCAAGGACCACCCAGCGTCTTCCAAGGAGATTCGAGTCAACGTGAAGCCCATCATGATTAATCATTATAAACTCAGGCGACGCCTAGTAGATGCCGGAATGTCCGCGAGCATATGCCGGGTATCCTTCTCCGAAAGCCAACCTTGAACGCCGTATGATGAGACTAAATTTACAGATGAGACCTGCTCGTCCATAACTAGCCCAGATGTCATATTCACAGAATTCCCTGTCATTCCACATTTTCGCTTCCCGAACCTCGTTTTCCAAGATTTCCGCCTTTCACTTTCAGCTGAGATGGTATGAGATGGCCCCAGCACAGTTTGCTTGGGAGAATTGAACCTCCAGTAACGTTGAAGGTTTCGTACTTCCGCCTTCTATTGATGATATCGCGACCAACGTTGCATTCAAACACCAGTGAGCCACAGGGTATTCGTTGTTGATTCGTATGGGCCAATAAAGTTAACACTTTTTGTCTCACATTGGCACTGCTTCTGTTTCAGGCTTGAGCCAGTTTCTCGACTTCAGCCACAAGATGACGACAACAATGGCCGCAACAATTATCGCTACTATGAGAAAGATCAAGATGCCACAGATGAACGTCCGCCTTCTTTTCTGGCGTTGGGCCTCAATCCAATGATCTCTGCCGATTTTCATTGATAATTAGCCAAGTGAACTATAATGCCACACGAGGGACCCTAACATACGTCCAGATGGTGTGTTTCTTTGGTCCTGTTTCCGTCTTTGCTTCTTCGTCGAGGTGCATAGCGGCAGAGAAGCGTTTCCAGAACGCCGGGTCCCGGACAAGTGCCATGATCACGCTGCTCCACTAGTTGCCAGACATGGGGTGCCGCAGTTCACTGGTTTCAGAATAAATAAGGTGTCTGTGCCGTATCGATTCAAGGGCCGTACGATGGCTCAGCCTGGAGCTTGGAGGCGTCAACGATAATAAATATCAGGAAAATCAACAAAGCTACGTTGACACAGTCAACCAAAATATGAGTGATAACGTTGGCTTTCGCTTACGGCTGGAGCGCCAGCGAAAGAGAGTGAAGTAGAGATTGGATCAGTCTAACAAGTGAAGGCTTCAAATAATGGACTAAGTTGTGACCTCCCGAACAACCATAGAACGAGGGACGTCAACAGGGAGCGCAAACGCGGGTATAACAGGGATTAAGAAAAACAACAAAAGCTCAAGCGAGGATGGATCAGGGAGAATCGAGGGCATTATTGCCGAATACCAGCAGCATCGGATGCTGGACTCGTTGCAATGCTGCCGTAGAGGTGCGTGAATTCCAAACAGCTCGGCGGGAATGACGGGCCCGGGCCAGGGTCGGCGCGGAATCTGGATCGGCAGCACGCCGCCCAATCACAACAACCGGAATCTGACAGGTCTGGTCCTGCACCCAATAAAACGAGCATCTTCGGCCCACGGTTCGATTGATTAAGGTACGTGGTCATGCCGGTCGGCTTGATCTGGTCAGGCCCGAGCAACAAGCATGGCGACCCGGTATTTTGATGCCTATCAACAAACAATTTTACCAAAGTCGGACCGCGTCGCAGCCGTTTTCCCAGGCTAGGCCTACGAGGCCAAAGTATGCCCCCCAATAGTACAGAAGGTTGTCCCGGTACTTTGAGAGAATGCTGTGAATAATTCGTCGAGTCTCTCCAAACCTTGATTTTACTCACATTCTTCGACTGTCTGACTCGCAAATGTTCTGAGATCTGATCTGGCTCTTCAGGTATTGATTCATGAGGCCTTTCATGAAGGAACTGCAGGGCCGAAGAACAAAATTACTGGCGTGGACGGATACTTCGACTTGCGCCTATTCAGTACCTCCAATTTCGTGTCTGAACACTGGGGGCCATGAACTGCCTTGATAAGCCATGGTTATCGAGGTCATTTCGGGATAACAATAAAGTACACCCACAGCATCTATGTTTGAATCATCTTGGAGCTCATGCGACATCCTCATGTGCATGCATGATTTGACTCACATAGGCCATGTGCACAGAATACACACATACTGGCAAGGGCGGCCAGCAGAGAAAACGCCCCACCCACCATTAGCCAAGCCAAAGGCTTAACTACTGTCTATTAATAGGCTCTGCAATGGGAATCATGAGTCCAGTAAGGGGACAAGCAGTTTCATCGTTACCTTGTCTGTCCTTCGTGGGGTTGCTGTGAGGGACGAGTGGCTGGCAGCTATGTTGATTCCATTGGCTGGAACTTGATCAGCAGAATTGAGCTTACTCACTGCGAAACTAGTTGGGCCACCTGGCATTAGGGAGCCTGATCCTTTTTCATTGGTGCCTTACTCCCGTATGGCATAAGGCAGGCATCAGCTTGGATCGGTGTTTCAGCAAGAACCATGCTTATCATGAAGGTGTGAAAGAAGCTGGATCTACCGGACCGCCTCCTATGCGTTCACACTTATTCTTGCTGCAGTACGTACTAATGCATGTAATTGTGCTTCACATCGTTGCAGCTATCATGACGAGATCTTTTACCACATCTGGTTCTTTGGGAGAAGATATCAATAGCCTGGACGCCTAACTAACTCCAAAGGTAACCAGTTATTACCACAAACACGTTGACAAATCTAATGGAAACACCTAGAGAGTATTCTTACCCTTCTGTTTATGAATAACGTGAAAAGGTGATATACGGCATAGTAATCGGCTCGTACCGAAAAGACACTTGCGTGCGGGAAGATTTGGCCTCTGGAGAGACTCGAGGTATTACTTGGGGTGGTTGACGGAGACCATCATCCGAAGAGGAGCCCTGGTGATAGTGGAAGTAATTCCAGCGGCTTGTGGCGCGGGCCTCGCCTACGATCCAGCCGGTTCTGGCACAAGCGAAGCCTGTGAGCGAGCAGGTGGCGCAGGAGCTGGTCTTGCTCCATAAGGCTCGGCTGCCCGGACCATACCCTTTGAGAAGAGATTTCTTTGGTGGCATCGTTGCGTACGTGCGTGCTTTCTCAGTCTTTTCAGAGAGATGGTAGAGTTTTCTTCGTGGGTTTGAGACAGGAGGATGCAGCCAAACTTATGCACATGCCATAAGTCATCTTTTTCAGCAGTCCTCGGCAGTCTTCCTGTAGCACTTTCAAAGATAACCCGAGACGGGATTATTGGAGGATGGGAGCATGTCTTCGCCCATTAGCGTTTGTTGATCAGCTCAAATGAGGGTTAGATCATGTCATATCATTCTAATGTGGGCTCGAAGTTGTGGTCACGAATGATGCTAATCTAGATCATGTACCTCAACCGAGGCCGACAGGTGAAGATGGTATGGAGCTCTGTCGCTTGGATCAAGCCAGCTGTATTAGGAATAAGGGATAGTTAGAATGTGACGAAGCCAGTAGATCAAGCTCGTCTGGAATCTGTAGTCAAAGAGTAGTAAGAGATAGTCTCTCATGGGGGGAACCCCTCCAACCCAACCATCATCATCAGATGATTCCCACAATGGCGAGTGACTTTTTGACGGAGGAGGGCAGACCGGAAGTCAGACCTTCAAAAAAACCTTCAGGTACCCAAAAGCGGCCTCGTGCAGGGCCCCATTTGGCTTTCTGTCGCATACAGCGCCAGCATGGTCCGACGCCAATAACATGAAGGGGAGCAGATGAGGCGGATTGAGTTGGCGTGTTGACGGTGCCAGCAAACGAGTTGACATCCTTTGGGCTCCCCCGCAGTGGAGCCTGTGCTGGATGGGTGCCTGACCGCCAGGCCGAAGCCTTGCGCTTGACAGGCCACTAACCGCCCGCGATCACGCGTCTTCACTATGCCTTGAATGGCATGAAGAGCTGCTGCGGCACAAGGTGCAGGTGCGCTGCTGCACCTCACCAAAACTAACTACCGCATTCCCAGCCTCGTTCTTCAATCCATCTTCTTCAACCTCCTCCTGCCCCCCCCATTCTCCCCCCATTGATGTCCCCGCTGCTCTCATTGCCGTCTAATGCCTCTACACCGGGCCCCATTCTAGCTCGGCCATGTTTTCCGCCCATGATCATCAGGGCCCGAGTTACTGGGGAGTGTTGATCAATGCCGATAAGAGTCCGGCCCCGCTGCTGGAACAGCTGTGCCTGGAAATTGCCCGCATCATCGTAAGTCGCGAATGGGGGGAGCTTCTCCTGAGTTGCTGCGCACTATGAACCCAAGCTTATCTCCCATTGTTCGCGTGCGAAGACATCCTTCGACGACTACGCTACCGCCGACCTCACTCCAGAACGACTGGCAGCTTTTTATCGCAAAGTGGGCGGCAACTATGACGTCCTCTTTCTCCAGACCAAACCGTCCGCGCTTTCCTTCATCTACCAACGCCTGGGATGCTTTCATAGTATTCAGCCAACCTCCGATCCTTACAAACCCCCCGCCATTCCAGCTCTCCAGCCGAATGGCTTTGTGCGATGGCAGACCATTCAGCTCCTTCTCGATCCGGACGAGCATTGCCGGTACCTTCAAAATGCGGTCGAATTGTGGGATATTGAAACTCCAAGCGGGGAGTTCTTTCCCAAACAAATTCCGCGGGAAGCTTTTCCAGACAGACCAGACCCGGAAATGGTAGAATGGCACGAGTCGGTTAGTCGACGCTTCGAACTCGATTACATTAAGAGAAACATCTTGCGTGCATCTCCACCGAGCTTTGGCACCTACCATTCTCATTTCTCCAACAAAGACATTCCACTCACCAGGGAAGAGACCAGCCTCCCTCCACGGCGTCGGTCGTCAACACATCGCCCTCACCTAGTCCCAGAGGAACCTTCCCCTCCCAGTAGGCACCAGAGGCGGCGCAGCGGCGAGTACCCACCGTCAGCCACCCGTCGGGTTCAGTCAACATACTTCCCCCGTGCACCAGACGTTGAGGCGCCTCGCCGAGCTCCTTCACCTCCAATGTGGACCAAGTCTGCTCCCAAACCAAGAGGTCGCGATCGCACTCCGGCGTATTCCCGGCCTGTCAGTCCAAATACATTGCCTGGGAACAGTGCATCCGATGCATCATCCGAGGATTCTGGAGGTGCAGTACGCCGCGCGTCTCCCAGCGCTAATCGACACCATCGTCATCTGCGTCCAGACACTCCGCACCATTCTCACGCTCGCCGCCATTCGCATGAATCCTACGCCAGAAGACCCGAACGGGCATTCTCCCCGGATGATCAGCGACAATACATGCACCGGGATATGTACAATGCCAGCTCGGCCAGACCCTACGACTCCGATGGTCCCCGTCGGGCACGCTCATCGAGAATATATGCCGAGGAGCCGGTCCGCCCTCCCCGGACTCCAAGGCCAACATTCCGCGACCACGTGTTTAGCGATCCCGCAGCTGTCCCGGTCAACCATGAAGTGCCGGTATACACGCACATGCATCCTCGATACATGAACAGGAATGGCAGCTACCCAGTCCGACCGCCTCCCCCACCTGACGTCGACATGCGTGCGGGCGATGACGGCCGGCGAAGTTATAGAGGACCTCACGTCAACCCCAACGCCTCTGGTTTCAGTAACTCGGCAACTCCGGAGCGTTCCCGCTACCCCTCAGGCGGATATCGGCCTCAGAGATGGGCTAATCCGGTACAGCCATCGCCAGCCCGAGGAATCCCCGTAGGAATGCCGGACATGGAATATCCTCCGAGAAGCCGACGGTCCACCATGTACGACCGGTGAACAATCCCAACAACCTTTTCTTTACATCTGTCAACAAGAATGATCACCCCAACTCAGAATCACGCCTCTAAGCACGACAACAAAGAACATTACCCACCTAATGAATACACCTTACCCCAGACTACAGTACTACTACGCTACAACGACTGAAGAATGACACCGCGCAGAGCCATTATTGACGACAGCAAGAACGAAGCGGGGTATGGAATACACGAATGACCGGCGTTTTACTTGCTTGGGCGGTTTCCTGAATGGCCAATACCCCACATTTGATGATAATGCTACGTGCTACGATATGATATGATATGATAAACTGACGGACCCGATGGCGGTCGGCTATGTTACGATTAACGACGATATGAGTATTTTTAGAGAGTTAGACGGAGTTTCTGCTGGTTCTTTCGCGGTCTCTCACTATTCTCTCTGTTGTTTTATTCTACCTCATTCGATTCCATGGGTCATCTTTTCTCTTTTATCTCGTTAGTATACATTACTTATTATATTACGAATATCAGATAATTCAGATTGTTTCCCTTTACTAAAGAGGGGTCTTGATATGTTACTAGTGGTTGTTTGGTTGGTAAGTACATAGTTATGACCGATGTTGTCAATAACCATAGCAGGGAGTGTAAACAGTTAATGTGGGTTGCGAGAAAGCAAAGTGCGATTCTATATATTTTCGATCCCGCTTAAGCATCTTTGAACTGACTACAATTCCACTTTTTTTATGAGGCAATGCAATGTACTATAGCAATTTTAGAACCTTTCAAATTATAAATTTACATTTGTATTCCTCGACTCCAGGATGATGCTTCTACCGCTAGTATACGCATCGTAGTTACTGATATCCGCTTCCAAACGTCAGAATATACATCCGTACTTATATAGTATAGTCTCCAACCCACACACTCAAACAGTAAGATTAGCCCTCTGAAAGCTAAACCCAAAGTCCTCAAATACGGCACACTTCTCCGTAACACCCGGATTCGTCACAATCGACGGGGGCATGTCGAGAACACTGACATTCCGCTCCGCGATTTCATACTCGGGCATGTAGTATCCACGAGGACCAAAGATCTGGTAAGTCGATGCGTAGGCGGGTCCACGAAGCTTCAGCATCTCCAGATCGGGGTTGGGATTGCGGGTGCGGAAGAATGAACCGAAGATGTCGTTCATGAGGCGGGAATGCAGGATGTCTCGCTTGTTGTAGTATGGGGAGACATTCTTTGTCTTGCTGTTGAGAGTGCCCCAGGCAGGAAGCACATCTGCGGAGTGGCATGTGGCGTTGAAATCGGTGTTGGGGGAGCAGATGCTGGGCACATCTACGGTGGTTTGGACGTGGCCGTGTCGGACTTCGACTTCCCAGAGGTGTGGGAATGCGTGGCGGCCGCCGTGGCGGAGGAGGTAGGCTTGTGGGCAGCTCCATTCGCTGTGGGTGAGGGCGTCGGCGACGGTGTTTCGGACGCTGTCGGGGTCTGAGGAGTTTAGGGGAAAGGCGTTGGTGGCGATGATGGATTTGATGAGGGAGGTGGGGTAGGCGTAGCTGTAGACGAGCTCGAGAGCAGCTTCGCTTGCCCCGAGGTTCGGGACGTATTGATCAACGTAGAGGGCGGCCTCGGTAGTGACTGTTGTGAACATGGTGGGTACGCGGTTGGGTAGCTTGTTTGAGGCGAGAAGACGGTAGAATTGGTCGTCGATGATGCCGCTGCCGGTGTCGTCTACTATGGGCATCAAAGGCTCGATTGATGCGAGGATCTCGGATGAATGCAGCCAATCGCTGGCGATAGTCTCGGTGGAGGCTGTCATGGCAGCTTCGAACTCAGTAGTGTTGTCCAGATACCGGGTTGCCGGAACCGATCTCAGGCAGGAGATGAGGGCGGTTTCCGATGTTGTGCCGTTGCAGCCAACAGCCCCCGCGATGTTGGGAGTAACGATCTTGGTATACACCTCACGTGTGAACCAGGGAAGGTCTACTGGGGCGGACTGCACAATGGCACCGGAGAATAGGCCATGGGCTGCAGTCGAAGAGAGCAGCGCAATGACACTCTGACCTCCGGCGGATTGGCCAAAGATTGTGACATGGTTTGGATCTCCACCAAATGCTTCGATATACTTGTTGACCCACTTCAATGCGAGGATTTGGTCGCGTGTGCCGTAATTGCCCGTGGTGAGGTTGCCCGTGGTCAGCCACCCTAGAGTACCGACTCGGTAGTTGACTGTCACAACAACAACATCGTTGCGGCTAGCGAAATTTCCTCCATCGTAGTCGACCATGGACGCGGTTCCACTAGTGAACGCACCGCCGTAGAAGTATACCGCGACAGGCTTGCGGGTGGACTTTCTGTCATGTGACGAGGGCAGGACAGGAGAATAGACGTTCAGGTATAGGCAGTCCTCCGAGATACCGCCATTGTCGAGTGTACCAAAACCCGAAACTGATTGGATGCACGAGTCCGCCATTTCAGTCGCGTCAATCTTCTTGGGACCCGAGTAAGGACGTGGGGGTGCGAATCGCAGGTCCCTGACTGGCGGGTCTGCGAAGGGAATGCCTAGGAATCGAAACGAGCGCCCGTCGCGATAGCCAGTCATACGGTAGTCATCGAATGAGATAGAGATCTTTGACTTATTCACGGCTTCCCTGTCCTTGTCGGTAGTGGGAGGCACGCTGGAGGTGCAAAGGGCAGGCAGTTGTCGATCGCATGGAGCGGAAATAACTTGCTTACGACTCTGAGAGTATGCCTGACAGCCATCGGGCGAGTCTTTGGCTATCCAGAAGGAGCTATTCGCCTCCACATCCTTCGTGTAAACCAGATAGTCAAGCTGGTACCCTATCTCTGTGGCGTTGGCGTGGGATACATCCTGCAGCGGATAGAGGGCTTCGCCAATGGATGCACACCGAGATTCTGCACTGAGATATGGCAGTCGGTCGTAGACCAAGACTGCGGCGGTGCCATTGTTTCCTGGGCCCAAGTTGTTATACTTCAGAGCTTGAAGCGTACCCAGAGAATCAATGCTGGGATGGGATCTTGCATCTGCTGGCAGAGCTGGGGCCGCCAAAGCAGAGCCAAAGAGAAGCAAAGAGCCCACGATAAACTGAAGCTGCATTGTCACAGACTTTGGCTACCCAGTGCACGCAGAAACAAACCACCAGGAAAGGCAGCAGCTGTTTTTAAAACCTTCATCGCTGCCAAGAGAGGTGGCCCAGAAATCTGGGCTTGGGGCAATCAGTTGTTCGGGATGGCCGGAAGAACAATTCTTTGAGTCAGTCGAGCGACAGAAACTGCCATAGATGGAGCATACACAGCCAAATCGGTACTGGCGGAAGCTGGGGTGCATTGATGCTAGAACTGCGGAAGCTGGGGCATCGGTCGTTCCTGAGAGAAGATTCCATTTATCTAGCCGAGGCAGCCAATATGAATGGCTCTCTCGGCAAACAACCACCGGAACCTGCTTCCTTGGCACGCGGCTGCCAACGGTTGATCAAGAATGATGACTAGAGGTGTGGAGGAAGTAGAAATCAAGGATCGTATGAGTCTAAATGAAAAAGAAGAACGAAGAAGCTCCCTCACCGGAGCAATCAGCCAGGCTATTGATTTTCGCCGTTACACTCTCACAGATCCGGCTTAGTGCTCCCTGAACGTCCTAGCCCTATGCTCTGGTGTGCAGCTGATAGCAACGACTCGGATGCGCGATAAGAATGATGTGCCACCCATTCACCACGTTGGTGATCGAAATTCAGAATCGTATGTGTTATGGATCTCTGTGATTATCGGAAATGTTGTTCTGTAAAGTGCGTATTGGTCGTGATATTGCTGTAAGATCTTCTGGGCTAGTATGGCTCCTTCGCGTTGTATAGTAGCGGTGGTCCATGTACTGGCGCCGGTATTTGACGCGCGAAGTACATCGAACTTCATGATGAATTGTTCTGCTATAGCGCTTTGGTAGGGTTTGTATGACTTGGACACCTAATCAATTCAAAGTTGTTAGCTCGCCAGGTCCATGTGTTCCGAAGTTACTGAAAGCCTTCACTTTGTGCTGCCAACCGTAGGTGTAAGTGCATATACACAAGCGTGTGTTTGAAAGCACTGATCCATTTCGTAGCAATCGCGCGGCCAATACAAGCAATACTGCCTTTGCAAAAGCTTCCAGGCGACAGGAAGCCAAAGTGTTTTCAAGTATGAAGAGGACTAGAATGGGAGACTAGTGTTAGTTAATTGGGTTATCTTGCTACCGACAAACCTGAGTTATAGGGACACATCAATCGGTCCAGTATAACCGTCCATGTGAAGTATGAGCCACACTATCTAGAAAAGAGCGTGGCTTTCAAGAAGCACGAAAATGATCTGAGGAGGAAAGATCTCATTTTCGGATGATAAACGCAAGGCTTAAGTGCACTTGGCTAGATGGATGAAGAAGTAGGTCAAGAAATGAGAGCAACAGGCTATCTACATTCACAAGCCAGAGTCAAATCAGATACTGGAATAAGAAAGGTTTAGCTTCTTCTCAAGAAAACAGGTACAGATTTACAGTTACCGTAAAGTATTCTCACTAGGACTAATAGAGATAAGGTGTGCTTGTCTCTTAGACTCTCCAGGGTCACAGGCAAAAACCGGGCTACAGTAGGCTTTCAATATACATGGAAAAGTTTTCAACAAAGAGGTAGCGCACCGGATTCACTTCACAGACTAGTAAGGATATATGGGGGAGAGTGACTCAGGGAAAAAACTGGCAAGAATCGGTGGGTCGGGGGACACAGCTAGTCTGCAGAGGTGAACTGTATGTTACTTTTGATAAAGTAAAGTAGGAATGGATTACGACGATGGAGAAGGAAAATATGAATATCACCAATAGAAAATAAGGAATAGTATTTATGGTGAGAGCCTCATGGGGTGCGGATGCGGGAAGACATGATATAGACCAGAAAGGGAAGGACCCGAATAGCTTCACCACCACCAGCATCCCCCCACACCCACCAATTCACACCCCCCAAGGGAAACCAGGCCGCCAGAATCGATACCTGGGCAAATAGGCCACCCAAACTACCTTTTTCAGAAAGAAAAAGGGAACAGACAAGGGAAGTTCTGGAAAGTAATCAGTAACCAAACCCAGGGTAACCGAGTGGCTTAAAGCCGGGCCCGTAGTTCTGCCTGTCCCTTAGGCCGTGTAGAACCAGAGACACTCGGGAGTCCTGGGTACGATTCTGGGCATGGACGAGCTGGCCCTTGACACGTAGTACGTAGGCTCAAGAAGGTGCCATCGTCTTGCTGGAAATCGTCTGCAACAACCGCACTAAGCGGTTTTCGTAGCCTCCTATGGGTTGGCAACCCATAGATGCAGGTGAGCTTTTTGATTTTTTGTTTAGATAGGTATGTCCCCTACTTAGTTGCGCGGCTAGTGAAGCTTGAAAGAAAGATGCTGGAAAAGATGCGAAGAGAGTATACCAGGAACATGTGTTGATTATTCGAGGGTGGGTGCCTGCTGCAGGCAAACATTTGCAATTCACCGTTGGGGGTTGTATTTTTCCATGTCTCTCGCCTATTGTTAAATGCTTTCATTCAGTTTCTGATGAATAATATGGATACAAATCCATTACTGTCTTTGATCTGATGCTTGGATAGAATACTAAACATTTCTAATTTCAATTCTGCGTACGACTATACTAGCGTCATCTGCAGTTTATAGACTGTATAGTGCATGTTGAACCCGATGTCCCAGTCCCGTCCCCGAGTCAACCAGAGAAATTGCAGGTTTAGACTTGAACTGCTGGGCAAGAGAGAAAACAAAATAGTAGAAAATCAACCCCCCCCCCCGAACCAGAATAACTGTTGGTTCCGGAGAGTGTGGAGGACATGGAGTTGGAAAGCGCCAAAAAGACAGAGTTTACTGTGTCTTCGTCTGGCATGTTCATTTCTTACCCATATGCCTTCCCTGGTGAATCCCCAACTGCAGTCTTAATACCGATCCAAATGACCCCGACGCTGGATCAGTCCAGTTGTCATTCCCCAACATTTTCATATGTAGTTGATATGTTTGTCTTTTACATAGAACATTCTGTGCTTGGGTGATGAGAGTCGTAGGGATCCCAAGACGTAAAGGATTTAGAGACTCTGGCTCCTTGCAGTCGGGCAGCAGGACACGATACAATAGGTACTGCTCTTTGTTCACTTTGGATCCTGAGCGCAGATCAGGCCGAGGTCAATAATGTCTTGCCGATGACATTGTATGTCTTAGCCGCTGCTGTCCACTCAGCTTTGTTTTTGGGGCATATAAAAGGCATAATATAAGCAACCAAAGGGCAATTATGATAGTGATAAGAATAAATGCTAGTTTGCATGAAAAGAAAATCCAAGTATTTGACATTGGTATAAGGGGGAAAAAACAAAAACTAAAAAGCATGAAGTATTGAGTACTCTGTAGTAGGTTGTTGTCATTACACAAGTAAACGCAGAAACTGCATAAGGAAAAACGCGTGGGGAAAGTGCGGTGGAGGACATAGTCGTACTCACCCCCGGGTCTCCAAAGGACGGCTCAGGTAAAGGCGAAGAAAAAAATCAATCGGCGCGCTCTTCTTCCATTCAAAGCTGTACAGTTTCGACTGTCTATTGACCAGCTTTTCTTGGACCATACATGCAGTAAGGATTCTTGCGTGTTGAGGAAGGACAAAAGAGAAGAGAAGTACAGGAAAGTACTCTTCATTAGGAAAGAGATATGGATATTCTTCTGTCCCTTCACCATCATTTTCCATAAGCCTCCACTTCTCTGTCTCTGAATCTACCTTGCACTGGTTTGCGCGGCCTCGCATAGCAAAAATTAATGAACTGAATTCAGAGAAGAGTCTGGAGTCTTCCCGAGCTTCCTTCGTATCAATGAGATGAATAGCCAGATGAGGATAGGCTTGCCCATCAACATTCCTTGGTTCTGGCTCTAAGACCCTGGAAACAGACCACCAATCACGCCCTTTACCGTAAGGACATGTGAGATCCGTTTCCAACCAAAAGGTACTGTCTGGTGCTCTGACGCAAAATGTTAGCAGAAGAAGCATATTTGCCATGGAGTGATATTATTTGCAAGGAGCGTACTGAACAAACTGAAGCCCTTGATGAATCATTGCCTCACGGGTCGCACGATCATGGATAAGGCTAGCTATTTGACTACAACGGGTTTTGGGCAACACTTTGCCGATGAACTGATCAATGTTCGCAAATCCGCGTATTTCAGGATAGGATTTCTGTAATTGAGTTGAGTCCATAGGACGAAAAAAGACCGGGGGAAAGATTGTATAACAAGTCTGGGGATTGTCCAACTGCTCAAAGTCAAACCGAATTACATGTTCAACACACTTAAGATTGTGGATATTCACATGACCATCGGTAGGCACATATCCTCTAAGTCCCATGACTTTGTCGAGCAGATTGTCGAGACCACGGCGAACCCTCGAGACAGTTGACAGCATCGACAATGATCTTTGAGACGTCGCGTATGTCTTGTGTTGATGTGTGCTTGATCTGGTCTACCCGAGAAAAATATTGTAGCCTTGTCTCCTGGGACAGGTAAAGAAGTGGAACATGCAAGATTGAGGGGCGTGTAAGTGCTTTCTTTTCTGTGTGATGTGAGTTTGTCTTCGTCAGCGATGGTATCACGTGGACGGCTCTTTGTGTAATGGAAATTGTCAAGCAGGAGCCACGAGGTGTCTTATTTAACTGTCAGTATCGAGAGTATAGCCCCCATACTGTTTATTCAGAAGACCACTATAGTCGATCTAATCAGTAAAGCTCACAGTTTGTTCGGCGTCTCCCACCTAACGGAGGCGGTAGTGGAAATATTTTTGTGGTAGCCGATGGTATTCCATGGGTAGAACTGTAAAGTAGGGGAGAGCACCTTTTCATGCTAGATGGACCTAAAGCAATTACCGTGGTTAACTATTCATTTGAATTATAAGTAGATTAGATATCCAGCAGAAAGAAGAAAGGGAAGGAATGTTCCTGAAGGTTTCTATCCTTTTTTTTCAGGGGTTCCAGTTACAATCATCTGAGATGTTCACTCGCTGTCAAGATAACTAACAACCAGCTCAAGAGTAGTAACTACCATCTGGAGTCTGAACAGGAAGTGGCTCACATGAATGGCAGGAAAACACCGTGTTTGTCATCAAATGGTTCATTTGTTGTGAACAACATTAGGGAGAAATATTTGGGTAAAATGTATGCCTACAGTAGGTGTATCTTCTACATCTTATTGGATACTACATACACATTCTATGGCATCTCATATATACTTAGCAGGTCAAGTCTCGCTGAAAAACGCCGTGCAACTCTTGGAATCGATAAACAGCGACCTACATGGGAGAGAAGACAAATCGGGGTCTCGGGGTATTGATACCCCGCAAGAAGATGGACCAATCATCGTTCCAGAAAGGGCCGTAATTAACTAATCTCCAATTCCTTTCATCTGCCTCAAACACACGATATGCAATCTAAGCAACTAATTTGAACTAAAGTCAACAACTCAATAAATCGGCTAGCTACCAAGCTAGTTGGTTAGTCGGTGAATCCAGCAGCAAAAACGATGTCATCTTCATCCATCAACCCGGACGACATCAATCTGCTAGCGCAATTTCTAGCCCACGAACAAATCCCAGCATCATCCCACCCCCCGATCAACACCGACTGCATCGTGATATGTGTTTCGGCAGTGCTTTATCCCGCAGAAGCGGTCTTCAAACACCTAGAGCGCAACCCCCAATTAACCAAAACACTCGTTCTATGCGGTGGAATCGGTCACTCCACGCCACATCTCTACGAGGCCGTATCGAGGCACCCAGACTACGCACACCTCGTCCCAGAAATCACAGGCAAGCCAGAATCTCACGTCCTGCATACCATCTTCACCCGGTGCTTTGATGCCACCTTCATTCAGAAATCCGGTTGCACGGTTTTACTAGAAGATAAGTCCACGAATTGCGGACAGAATGCCTTAGAGACACGGGCATTATTGGCAAGGAACGGTATCCCGGAACCTAAATCTATGATTATTGTGCAGGATCCGACCATGGCTCGGCGGACGATTGCCTCATTTGAAAAGGCGTATGCGCCGAGGCCCCCGAAGTTGCTCAGCTGGCCGATTATAGTGCCTCGAGTTGAGCTTGAGGAGGGTGAGTTGGTATATGATGATGATGATGGTAGTATGCCAGGGGTGACGGGAACATTGTGGAGTATGTCACGCTTCTTGGGTCTGGTTCTGGGTGAGATTCCACGGCTGAGAGATGATGAGCATGGGTATGGGCCCATGGGGAAGGGGTTTATTGGTCATGTTGATATTCCGGAGGAGGTAGAACACGCGTATTCTAGGGTCCAAAGGGGGATAGGAGAAGATTCGGCAAAGAGATAGATTGGTCGTTTTCAGGTTGTGTTGTGGCTGTGGTTTTACTATGGGGAATCTCGCGATCGGAACTGCCGAGATATCCACTAGAGACCCATTTCCATGATACTATGTTGTCTGTATCAAACGCGTACTTACATAGAGATGTATTGTGTGTCACTAGTTCACAGCGTATTGTGCCGTATATACCGGTAACGTATGTTACCATACGTAAGCAGCTACGGCATCTCCCATCCGATACACTTTCTAGTCTCTGTAAAATCTTCCACCGAACACAAGCTTCAAAGTCTGCAGGTACGTAAGCTTGAATCCGAAATCCATGCACTCTTGTCGACTGATGAGTGCACGTTCCAGCAATCATGAGACTTGCCAACGGTAGACCCTGACTCGTGGATTGCCAAGCGGTCCTGTAGAACCGCTAAAGGGACTTAGTTATTGACTCTTCGTCAGCTCCGACATGATCATCGCTGCAATATCCCCTTCGAAGTAGCCGAGCGCCCGTCAGCGGTCGTCTCGAAGCCGGCGGGGTCCCTGCTCCTGAGTTGATTTCTCCGTGAATAAGGAATTGCTCTGAAAGGCCTGAGCTAAAGCTTGACCTCTGATTCACGAGAAGAAAATGATCGGCATCGGTCCAGGAACGGGAAACCAACGGGACGAAACAATGAATCCAAAATTAATATCGAGGAACCCTGCCGTCTCTCACCGTCGTGTCAATCCTTGCAGGCACCTCATATGAGCTGAGATGATAGGGGCGGCTATGGATTCTCCGGTGGGAGGAGCTGCCCACGAGGTATGTGGCATACTGGATGCTTATAAAAGGCCGGCGGCAATTGCTGTGATCGGTTGATACCAAGCAGAGAGACACTTGCAAGATAGCTTCTCACCATGCCTGCTCTTTCCATCCTCGCTCTCGCCCTCGCCCCGTTGCTGGTCAACGGCCAGCTCTCCGGTAGCGTCGGTCCGCTCACTTCGGCACACTCGAAGGCTGCGACCAAGACGTGTAACATCCTGGACTATGGTGCTGTGGCGGACAACTCCACCGACATTGGGTCTCCCCTCTCAGAAGCCTGGGATGCGTGCTCGGATGGAGGTCTGATCTATATTCCTCCTGGTGACTATGCGATGGATACCTGGGTGTCTCTGTCAGGAGGCAAGGCGACCGCCATCATCCTGGACGGTACTATTTACCGTACTGGCACCGATGGAGGTAATATGATTCTGGTGGAGAATTCTTCCGACTTTGAGTTGTACAGTAACTCGTCCTCTGGTGCCGTCCAGGGATTCGGATATGTGTACCACCGGGAGGGCGATCTTGATGGGCCACGGATTTTGCGACTCCAGGATGTGAGCAACTTCGCGGTGCATGATATCATCCTCGTGGACGCGCCAGCCTTCCACTTCGTCATGGACGACTGCTCCGATGGAGAAGTGTATAACATGGCTATCCGGGGTGGTAATTCGGGCGGCTTGGATGGGATTGATGTGTGGGGTAGCAACATCTGGGTTCACGACGTATGTTCCACATCATACCACAATGGAAAGCTTTCTGTGCTGATTCATGTACCAGGTTGAGGTGACCAACAAGGATGAATGTGTCACGGTCAAGGTAGGGCCCACCTAGTATGACCATCCCTAGCTCGGTTACTGACAACCCGCAGAGCCCTGCCAACAATATCCTAGTGGAAAGCATCTACTGCAACTGGAGTGGAGGTTGTGCGATGGGTTCTCTCGGCGCTGACACCGATATCACTGATATTCTGTACCGCAACGTTTACACCTGGAGTTCCAACCAGATGTACATGATCAAGAGCAATGGCGGTAATGGGACAGTCAAGAACACCCTTCTGGAGAACTTTATTGGTATGTCTGGCCCACTCGAACTAGGTATATACAGCCTCAGCTAATGCGTTGCAGGACACGGCAACGCCTATTCTCTGGATGTTGACAGCTACTGGAGCAGCATGACAGCCGTGGATGGCGACGGCGTGGAACTGAGTAACATCACATTCAAGAACTGGAAGGGAACGGAGGCGGATGGTGCCGAACGCGGGCCCATCAGGGTGGTATGCTCGGACACGGCCCCTTGCACCGACATCACCATCGAGGATTTTGCCATGTGGACCGAAAGCGGCGATGAGCAGACCTACACCTGCGAGTCGGCGTATGGTGATGGATTTTGCCTCGAAGACAGCGATTCCACCACCTCGTACACGACCACCCAGACTGTCACCACGGCGCCCTCAGGATACTCGGCCACCACGATGGCCGCGGATCTCACCACGGACTTTGGCACGACCGCGTCCATCCCCATCCCTACCATCCCGACTTCCTTCTATCCCGGCGTGACGGCGATCAGTCCCTTGGCATCGGCTGCCACGACGGCTTGAATTCGAGAATGGTTCATTCTTTGCTACCCTTGGGCAGGGGCTGGATAGGTAGTGGGCAGTGTGTACAGTGTGTAGATAGTTGACCAGTGAGTAAATGAGTAATTAATAACACATTTAACTGGCGGTGTATCTCTTCAGATGATTTCATTTCCTTTACTTCAAGATCTGCATCCAGAGGATGGAAGAATGCGCAATTTATGCATATATAATGCGTGATTGGCTGGCGATGGAAAGAAATGAGACCATCGGCCCTGCAGATCCCGCCATCTTAAGGTTTCTTCCGTGAGTTTTTCTTTGATGCTCATCTCATTCTCGTGTCTTGTGTAATCATCCATCATTAATCACCGAACACATCCTCCGCATCCGGATGTCTTGATTCTTGTCGCTTCTCTCCCTCTCCACTTCCCCTTCACTCCTTCTTCACTTTCTTTCACTCTCACAAAATGACATCTGTTTGGCAGCCTCACTGAACGAGATTTTGCACCCGATCGCAAGTTGAGATGCGACCAGAAAACGGCCGCCGATAAGCTTCGCTGATTTTCTGTCTCAACCCCGCAATTCCAAAGCGACCGGATCAACCCCGAGGAATTCATTCTTCAACTTGTCATCCTCACATCGCCGCGATCATGACGGGCGCATTCAAACCAGATGAGGCAGAGCCGGTGTTATCGACGCTGGAAGGGGCTTCGAACCCGCCAACGCCCAATTCTGCTGCTGCTGCCTATCGCTACAAGGCCGATCTGCTCAACCGCGCCATCCAAGACATCGGCATGGGCAGGTATCAGTGGCAGCTGTTTGGCGTCATTGGATTCGGCTGGGCCAGCGACAACCTCTGGCCCATCGTCACCTCCCTCATCCTCGTCCCGGTGTCTTATGAATTCGACGTCGCCCGGCCGCCGTTATTGTCCCTGGCCCAAAACATTGGGCTGCTAGCCGGCTCGCTCTTCTGGGGCTTCACCTGCGATCTGTTCGGTCGGCGATGGGCCTTCAACCTGACCATTGCCATCACCGCCATTTTCGGACTGGTCGCTGCTGGCTCACCGTCTTTCGCAGCTGTAGGCGTCTTCGCTGCATTATGGTCCTTCGGCGTTGGCGGCAACCTGCCCGTCGACTCGGCCATCTTCCTCGAATTTCTGCCCGGTTCGCATCAGTACCTGCTCACGGTACTATCAATCAACTGGGCGCTCGCGCAGCTCCTCGCCAACCTCGTCGCATGGCCTCTGATCGGAGAAATGACCTGCGCCTCCGCCGACCACTGCACCAAGGCCTCCAACATGGGATGGCGGTACTTCCTCATCGCAATGGGCGGCCTCGCTCTCTTCATGTGCTTAGCCCGATGTCTATTCTTCACTCTCTACGAATCCCCCAAATACCTCATGGGCAAAGGTCGCCACGAAGAATCCGTCGCCGTCGTCCATGAAGTCGCGCGTCGCAACGGCACCAGCTCCTCTCTATCCATAGACGACCTCCAAGACGACGGGCCCATCTCCAGCAGCACCGAAACAACCACCACCAACACCCCCACCCCAACCCACACAGCACCCAACAACGGAGCTCTCAGCGCCCTCGACCACCTCCGCATGCGCCTCGAACCCCTCTCCGCCCCCTACGTGCGCGCTCTCTTCCGCACTCCGCGCCGCGCCTGGTCCACGACCCTCATGATCCTCATCTGGGCCCTCGTCGGCCTCGGCTTCCCCCTGTATAACAACTTCCTCCCCTACCTGCAGCAAATGCGCGGGATCCAATTCGGCGACGGCTCGACGTACATCACGTACCGCAACTCGCTCATCATCGCCGCGGTCGGCGTCCCCGGCAGCTTGGTCGGCGGAGTGATGGTCGAGATGCCTCGGTTAGGACGCAAGGGCACGCTGTGTCTCGCCACACTCTCCACGGGCGCGTTCTTGCTCGCGTCCACAACGGCGAGGACCTCCGGCGCCCTGTTGGGGTGGAATTGCGCCTACAGTTTCACTAGCAGTTTGCTGTATGCGGTGCTGTATGCGTACACGCCGGAGATCTTTGAGACGCAGTATCGCGGCACCGGGAATGCGTTGGTCGGGGGCGCGAATCGGATTGGAGGGATCTTGGCGCCGATTATTGCTCTGGTGTCGAACATGGAGACCGCTGTGCCGGTGTATGTTAGTGGGGGGATGTTTGTGATGGCGGGGTTGTTGGTCGTGTTGATACCGTATGAGACGAGGGGGAGGATGAGTTTATAGTTGTTGTTGTTGTGTAGGTATGTAGTTGGGGGTACACAGTGTAGGTACCAGGATTAATTGGTAGGGGGGATTGTATGCCGTGCTTGTATGACATGGCAGGGTATATTAAGAGGTACATAAAGGGAGGGACGGAGATAACTTGTGATGATCATAATTTATGATGATATGAAGAATCTGATATGACATACATGGACATGACTGATAGTATTTGTGTCCTCTTGCGGCAATAGTAAATAGTACACCTACTCCATCTCCCTCCAGCAATACCAAACAAATAGACAGTAAGTACCCACTACACAACAACACCCAAACCCCCTAAAAGAGCAAAGAAACCATCCATCCCCAAAGCAAAATCAATATGCTTAAAAACCCACGCCTGCTTGCCTGCCTGCCTGCATGCATACACGCATACACGCACATAATGCACACGCAGATAAAATAGGAAATTGATAATTAGAGTTTCGAAAGTAAGACAGAGAATGCAACTTAACTGAAAATTATTTATGCTTGTTTTCTGCGTGCTTGCGCGTACTTTCTGCTATAGGAACCTACCAGTTAGCAGATGCTTATGCATGCGAGGTAACTTCATTGTAGGGGAAGTTAGTATGTTGGGAGATGGATTAGGTAGGTAGTTAGGGGTAATGGGCTGCTTGATTGAGTACTATGCTGTGCAATCGAATTACCAGGGACTATGGTGATCGGGAAAAATAATATTATTATACCATTGAGGGAAAGGGCTGAGAAGGGAGTAGTACATTTTGGTAGAGTCACTGGTATATCATATCGGCTTATGCTTCCAGTGAAGCGTTGCACAAAATACCTTTGCATGTTCTACAAGCCACTATCCTTCGGATAAGTGGTCCTAGAAATGATATATCAAGTCCGCTGAGATACTCCGGCTACCCGGTCAATGTATCACCCCAAGAGATACATTCTAATAAGTAGCAAGAAGTTTCCTAGCAGGATATCTAAATACACGTAGTCTCACACATCAGTCCCATCCCACGGAAACCATCACAATGACCCGCCCCCGCAGAGCAACCAAGGAAGAACCCAGCCAATATGAAGACCTCAGTCGATATGAAGATGTCCTCGGTCAACTGCCCATGCTGCAGGTCTACACCCATATCCTACTCCTTTTCTCCATGACTGAAGGCATAACCCGTGACGACATCGTATCTGACCTGATATCGGCTGTCGCCATGATTCGCGAAAAGGTGCCATGGATGGCTGGAAAGGTGATCAATGTTGATAAAAGTCCCGGTAACTCGGGGAGGTATATCGTTGTACCTTGTCCGGCCCCTGACAGGCTTATTGAAGTGAAGGACGTCTCGCGTGAGCTTCCGCCGTATCAGGAAATCCAGCAATTGAAGGCTCCGAATTACTTGCTGGACTCCAATCTACTAGCACCCTCTACGGCATTCCCTCAGCGGTTCGAAGACTCAGAGGAGGATCCCTCCCGTGTGATCCGCCTTCAGGCGAGCTTTGTCGAAGGGGGTGTGCTTATCGATTTTGCGACACACCATAATATGACGGACGGCGGGGGAGTATTTGGCTTTGCCCGGCTCGTTGCTCAGGCTATGCGAGGAGAGAAGTTCTCCGACGATATGCTGGAAAAGATAAATTGTGATAGACGCAATGTCGTTCCCCTTCTGCGTCCGGATGAGCCTATGCTTGACCATAGTCATCACCTGCTCCCTCCCGGTACAGACGTGCAGCTTCTAGAGTGCCCAGAACCAGCCCAGTGGCATGTTGTACGTCTAGCTGTAGCCAAGGTGACTGATCTCAAGACACAGGCTACTCCGCCGCCCGAAGAGTCAGATCAAGAGATGCTTTTCATAACAGGCGACGACGCTATCAGCGCGTTCTTCTGGAAGAAGCTCGCGATTATGCGTCAGCGTCGCAATACGCCTGATACCAGATCAAGGTTCTCGCGTGCTATGGACGGCCGCAAAGTAATGGGTGTTCCAGCCGAGTATATGGGCGACCTTGTTCATAATGTGGCGACTTGGCTGAGCTTCGATGAACTGATTGAGCTGCCACTTCACGCCATAGCATACCATCTTCGCCGGGAATTGAACCGCGCAAACACTACGTACCATGTACGAAGCTTTGCAACGTTTATTGCAAAACAGCCGGAAAAATCGACAATCACATATGGTGGGGCCTTCAATCCCGATATAGATGTAGGAATGTCGTCGCTCTCGCGGGCAGATATCATGCACCATGAGTTTGGAATACTCGGCCGCCCCGACTTCGTACGACGACCTAACTTCTCGGGAAGCCTGTTACCAGGCTTGCTATATATCTTTCCAATGCGGCCGGAGGGAGATGTAGACATGCTGGTTTGTTTGACCGATGCTGACATGGTGGCATTGAGACATGATCCGGAGTGGAATCATGTAGTAGAGTATATTGGATGAGCTGGCGGGATCCCTTCTGTAGCTCAACGATTGACATTGGGATATCGAGGTTTTTTGGACTTAGGTTGTTCAGCGCCAATAAAGAGAAAGCACGAAAGAACCTCTGTAATTGTACCCACAGGGTCCTGTCCCTTACAAAGGTCGAAGCAGCATCTGTAAAAGCCACTCGTCATGGTGTAGTTGCGGGTCTCGTTTTGAGATGATGAACAAAAGGTAAATTGTAGAATATATGAAGATATATAGCTATGTCGCTGGCGTATGGTACTAAACAACCGGGCCGATTAGGGTTTCTGGAGTGTGATGGTCCAATCCACCGAACCCCTCAATTGGCGGACGCTGGGTGACCGGTTCAATTCAACTAGGGCAAT